CGCGTGCTGGCGGCGGTGTTGCCAGTGTACGATAATGATCCTGTTTGTACGATCATTTCAAACCCTTTACCATGGACGGTCAGCGATGGTAAAAGTGTTTGGTTTGCTCTTGTGGCTCCTGGCCCCGCCGCAGCCGAGCCCAGATAGTGCGTGTGCAGCCAGCTGCAGTAGGAGCAATGCAGCTGGCCTGGACAAGGCAAGGAAAAAACATGCTGCTTCCCAGGTCGCTGGGCTTAGGAAGCAGGCTCTGGAGGTGGGGGGGCCTGGGGACTGTGGAGCCGTCTTCCCCCGAGCTCAGCTGATGAGTATCCAATAGCCCCCTCTAAGAGCAAGGGGGGCTAACTGTTGCTCTGCGGGTGTAAGGCCCGTGATCCTCTTATGAGTCTGATACACCAGTCTGAGGAACTGGCAAGAAGCAGCTTTGTACACTGGTGCTGCGTGCTTTTCTGACCAGTCCACATTTATTGTCAGTTAAGGACTATGGTTCCGCATTGGAAATTTGTCCCTTAATTTGAATTTGGCCCAGTCTTCTCTTGCTGAAATAAATTGAGACTTACATTTACTTGCCCACACCCAGACTTGAACTGCCAGCCTTTCCACTAGCAGCCTCACAACTCAGGCCCTCCAGCCACAGAAGAGCCCTTCTTTGACAGTCTTGTCCTAACTTATTGTGGCAGCAAAGCGAAGCCTGGGAGGAAAGTTAACTTTTTGGGCCTTTCATTGGAATGGAAATTTTGGGATCTCTCTTTCACAACTAATGTGCATGTTGTCTATAAGGCAAACTTTCCAGATTGACTTTTGCAATTTCACCAGAAAGCTGAGAGGTGGGACTTACTGCCACCCAGGTGTGTGGGTCAGGTTTGGGTCATTGCAATTCAAATGGCATTTATGCCTATTTTGGATGTTGCCTATTATTGGGCTACAACAGGGCTTTCCAGCTGGTGACCTGTGGGCTTCATGCAGTCCATGGGGGGTTACATTGTGGCCCTGGGCTCCCACCTGGCCACCACTTTTCCCATTGCTTCAGCTACAGAAGCAGCCAGGGACTCTGGGCTCCTTCTCCCCTCCAGCTTCTCCTTCCTGCAGCATGGTACAGCCTGCATTGCTGAAAGAGCCTGCTGTCTGGGCACCTTAAGGTGAAATGCAGCAGGGGGGACTGTGGCTGGGGAGCTGAGGATGAGGGAGGGCACTTGGGCACTGGTAGTGTTGTGGGGGGGGGGGAGTTAGGGAGCTGTGTGTGGTGCAGTGTGGTGTTTCTCAGTTCAGTGAGGTGAAAGGGCTTATCGTTCAGTAGTGAGGGGGGATAGGGGGTACCTGGACACATGGTGCAGTGGGGGGAAGTGGTGTGTGATGTAGTGGAGGGAGGCACATGCAGTGGAGTGATGCAGCAGCAGAGGGCTGCTTAGGTATGCAATGTAGTGGGGGAGGGAGGAGGCACTATGCAGTGATGGGGAGGGACATGAAGTGCAATGGTGGGGAGGGCGTGCATGGTGGTACCGATATATGGTACCGCTGGGGGGGCGGGAAAAGCGCGGTACCACTAAAGCAGTGGTCTCCAACCTTTTTAAGTACCAGATCCCTTTGTGAATTAAAGTGCAACCTAGGATCTATCGCACCTCTCCCCCCTGCAAGTGGGGGGGAGCAAATCGAGGCCCCTGCAGTGAGGGAGGGAGGGGGGTAGGGGCAGGTGCTGGGGTGAGTGTGGCCCTGCCTGGGCTGGGTGGTGGGACAATTGGAGCCCAGGAGGCTTATCCAGGTGTGGGGTGGGGAGGCTCCAGCCACTACTTGCATCCCGGTGGACACCTGGGGGGCACGTGCCCTCCCCGATCTGTATGCAGGGTGGAGGCGGCTGCCGTTGCACACTGGGCTTTGCATTCCAAGCCCCACTGCAGCTGTTCTGGGAGTGGCACAAGGCCACATGTGTCTCGCCACTGGGCTGAGGCTTGCCCCCTGCCCACCCAGTGGCAGGACATGGAGCCTCTGACAGTTGCACTCAGTCCCGCCAGACTGAGATCGTGCATGTGCTCAGCCTCCCCAGACTGAGATTGACTGTCAGAGGCTCCACTATTGACCAATCGCGATTGACTGGTTGGTGACTACTGCACTAGAGGCAGGGGCATGTGGTGCAGCAGGGCAATGTTCTGTACACCCAGGCACCACACATTGTACAGTGCAGTGGTGGGGTATAGCATGGCGATATGCAGTGAGGGGAGGTAACCATGTGTGCAGTGCAGCAGAAACATGCACGCTGCAGTGTTGGGGGCATACAGTGTGGGGCCCTGGGGACCCATGGCTCCCCCTGGTATAACCCCTAATAGTGCAACCTGCAGGGTGTGTGGCGTCTGGATGCTTGTATGGTAGACAACCCTGGTCTGCAGTTGACCCTAGTTATGCATAAGTGTACGGTTCACCTGTTGTCTAGAATTGTTGTGTAAACCTTCTGAGCACGGTGTGCTTAATTTCAATGCACCTTTTAGACAAAATTGTAACCCAGTGATAATAATGTATGCCTGGGAAGTTTCTGAGCCAGATGAGACAAATGTCAGAGAAACTAGACTCAAGTTACGCATATGCTGATCCTGTCCAAAAAGATCTAATATTGATTACTTGTCTATCCATATGAGGAAATTAGTGACTTCCTTTTGCAGAGGGCTCCAGTGCTTCCTTTTGCAGAATGTTTTGAGAATCCTGTATGAGACAGAGAAAAATTCAGAAATTAATAAGAACTGTCATATTGGATCAGAAAAAAGGCCCACCTCACCAAGTAGCAAGGATCTGGCCCATGGAGCCCCACTGTCCAACCTCTGTGCTTCCTCTGGGTCCCAAATTGACCCACATGTTGCACACAGCATGCACTGGACCTGCCCTGCATGCTGGACCTGGCGCGCTCAGATGTAAGACAAGAGAGGCAGGACATGTTTAAGAGTGATCCCTGCAGTGCATACCCTCTCAGTTACCAGTAATTATAGGTTGAAAGATGTTCTTAGCTTGAGGTTAGTAAGTACCTTAATACAGCTCTTGTTAACTATTTGGACTGTCATTTGAAGGGGATCAACAATGAAATGTTGCACTCACCAGCTGCAGCACCAGCGATCGGGGCCTCTGGGGGCTTGTGGCACAGCC